CTCATTGTCCCACCTGCCCTCCTTGACAAGTCCTTAAACATTTAAAATCTACTTAGAACATAAACCCACATTTTTGGGGATAAGCTCTTTTTCTCAGTTGCTCATTGCATTTTCAAACAAATCCTGTGAAGCAGGTATTGATAAAATGGAAAAAATCTGACGTGAATTCCTAAAATTCCAGTTGATTTGTGTTTTGAACTTGATTATGTCAGGTACTGCATCACTACCATAATCCATTCCTGTGAAATATAGGAACAAGTAAGACTATTAAGGGTGAATGAAAGAATGAATGGAGTTAGGGAAGAAGAAACACAGAAAAATTTAAGATTTAGGTACGTCTTAGGTAAATTAAGTCCTTTTATCTCTTTTTAATTTTCTTATATTGATGAGGGAGAAAATAATAATTGCTCCTCAACATGACACATAAACTTATATATCTGTCAAACCAGGAAGCTGTTTTTCAAATGGCACTGCAGCATTGGTTGATATATAATAATCACAGAATAGATTGTGCCAAATAATAGGGATAGTTTCAAATTCAAGCACTTTAAGTTTGGAAAACAGAGATTTAAGATTATCCAGCATCAGTTCATGCATACAGAGTGCAAACCTGTTGTGCTCAGTGGGCAAGATTTCATAATTTCTTTTTAGAATCGCTTCTCAGTCCACGATTCTGAGCTTGGGATTTTTTAAAGTACACAAGAGGTCTTGTCTTTTCTGTTTTTCATTGCTGAGGTAGCTAACAGTTGCACAAGCACTCAGCTAAGTCCATGAACATGTTTCTGTTTAAAACTACAGGCATAAAGGTTTGCAAATGGCATATTTACCACTCTGTGTCTCCCTCCTAAAAACATTAAGATTTACTGCACTGGTGTTTGTGAGGCTCAGGGATCAAATGAATTCACATGGAAAGAAATAGAAAGTTTCCACCTGACCTTGCTGGGAGCTAGACTAGAAGTTTCATGAGGTAAAACATTTGCAGAGGACCAGGTAGTACTTTATTATGATTTATTAAATGTCAGTTTATATGAGTTTTATTGAATATGAGATTAAAGCAGTAGTTATTATATGACAGCACAGTGTTCTGTGATTTACTCATGAACTGCTCTTTTTTTCTTCATCTGCAAATACCCTGTAGAGTGGAGGGGAAAACATGGCATCAGCTAAACCAAAGAAATGGAAATAAGAACAAACATGTTTAAATCTTGGGGCACTGAAGAGCTTTATCATGCTCATCTCCTATTTGGTGTTATTTATCTCTCTTAATGCAGGAATCAGGCTATATGACCTACAAAAGTGGCAAAAATTTTAAACTTTATTTACTGGCTTGGAATTCAGTCTTCATTGGAACAGAAAGGGCAAATATTTTAGGGGATACGTGTGAGTCAAGGCAATTTGTTCAGAAAGGGAAGAGAGTGGTAGCAGCCATAGGAGAAAGCTGGAAAAGAAAAAAAAAAACAGCTGGAAAGATCTGAAACACTTAAGTGTTCAGCTGGGATAATACGGGCTCAGATCTTAGGAAGCTGAGGATAATGGCACATGAACACAGGATGGTTGCTACAATTCTCCACTTTCATGGATGCCAGTAAGAATTTCTAACACAGAACAAGGAGCTACATTTGTAATTATCACATTATTTTTTTTCATTTCTATTATATTGAACTCAATCCAAAGGCTGGAGGAAGTAGGTATCTACATTTACTTCCACACCCATCCAATTAAGCCAAAACTGGAGTCCTATCTTAAAGGTTTTGGTGGCCTTCATCCAGGGTATTGAGAGGCTCCACTCTGGTGAAGATCACAGCTGAGAACTACAGCCTGACTGAACATTTTTAGGAAGGCTAATCCTGTCTGTCTAGGCAAGAGTTTCTTTGCACAGAACGAGACAAGTCTGTGAAGGCTTCCCCACAAGAACTAAGGGTAGTGCCAAACTTTTACTGCCTTGTTTAAGCACAAGGTATGTTACTCTGTCCTTGTTCTCCTTCATACAAACCCACTCCACATTTCCCCATGAGTCTGTGCCTTTGTTTTGAAGAACATCCTGAAAACTTCTTTCCTAGAGACAAACTGACAACAGACTTAGGCAGATGTTGGTCACTTTGTTGCTGGGATCCACAAATTCATTGTAACTCTAGAACACACCAGGACACAGCAACTCCAAAGAGAAACCAAAGGGAAGTTTTGTCTTTATTTGCTGTCTCTTAAAAAGACAGACCATGAGAGCTGGGGTTATTCAGCCTGGAAAAGAGAAGGCTCTGGGGAGACCTCTCAGTACCTAAAAAAGCTTAGGAGAAAGCTGTAGAGGAACTTCTCATAAGGGTGTGTGGTGATAGGACAAGGGATAGTGCCTTCAAACTGGCACAGGGTAGTTTTAGATGAGATTTCAGGAAGACATTCTCTGCTGTGAGGGCAGTGAGGCACTGGCACGGGTTGCCCATAGAAGTTGTAGATGCCCCATCCTTGGAAGTGCACAAGGCCAGGTTGGATGGAGCTGGCAGCAACCTGGCCCAGTGAAAGGTACCCCTGCCCATGGCAGGGATCTGGAACTGGATGACTTTCAAGGTCCTTTTGAACCAAACCATTCTATGATTCTATGAATTTGCTGCTGTTATTTCTGTAATGAGGAATACACAGTAACTGCGTCAACTGAGCTTCATCCCAGTATTGTTGATATTTAAACTTTCAGCCAAAAAAAACAAAACAAAACAAAAAAACCCCAAAACAAGAACAAAAAACCCACCCAAAAAAAAAAAAAAAAAAAAAAAAAAAAAAAAAAAAACCAAAAAAAAAAAAAACAAATTTAAAATCTTAGGGAAAAAAAAAAAAGTTAGGATTGCAAATTCCTGCACCATCCTTTTTACACTTTTAGGTTGGGTTTTTTCCTGATGTTAGCCCTGGTGCACACACAGATAAAAGTTTTGTGCACTGTTTAATTAGCCAAGGTTTAATTATAGACCTGTACACACAGCTTGTGCCTCTGCTGCTCTTCAGCCACAGTTCCTAATGATAAACTGGGATGTAACTGCTGCTTTGTCTGGCTTGGAAAGATTCTGTAGTCTGGTTACATCTCCAGCATTCCTCAGACCACAATTTCAACACAGAAAACATTCAGACCAGAATGATGGGAGACAATGACAGTCATTTGAAATGAGGTTTGGCAACAGATTTTCTGACAAATGCTCTGGGATAATGCTCACGGAGAGAATTGTGCTCCCGGAGATGTGACTTGTTAATTCAGTCTGAGGGAAGAAGATTCAGAGCCATCATTTATTGGAACCTATTACAGGACTTAATCTGAAGATTTTGACATACTTCCAAGACAAATAGGCTACCACGAGTGAGACATGTTCAATAAGGTGTGTATTGTAGGAAATGAGGGCTGTAATTGCCATGCTGAGAGAGCTTGTTGTCTATGCAGTTAAATGACCTTCCCCTGGCAGTGTCCCTTCCCACACAATGTGATTCAGAGATGAATCATGGAAAAGGGTCTTTATCATCACCCAGCAGACTTGACCGAATGGTTACTGCTTATTATTGGTGGGCACCGTAGGATTTGAGCCCCACAGAGCAAAACATTAGGAATTACATCTCCTGTAATGCTTGGGCCTCTTCATAAAACATCATGGGGGTGTTTGTGGTTTCCTTGTTACTCTGCACATCACAGCAGTGGCCCAAGTTTTTAAACACAAGTTTTCTCTTTGCTTGTAACAGTGAGTTAGACTGAAATTTGTGTGAGATAGCTCCATTCAGCAGCACAGATTATGACAGAAACAAGAAGTCCAATCTTGTTTGTCCTTAGAATTTAACCAAGACATACTTAGTCTTTTTAATTTTTCCTTGTGAAAAAGTTTCCCCAGTCATGTCAGAATATCTGTCACCATTTTCTGACCTCGCTCCAGCTTCTAATTTTCCAGCCTGATACTAAGGCAGGAAAAGAAATTTGCTATTTTGGCTGCAATTCACATCATATAAAAAAAAATGCAGAATGACAGACGTGCAAAGACATAGGTCACTTATGGCGCAGGGCTGCAACAACCAAAGAAATACTTACAAAAATATAGGGCGCAGAAACTAAATAACCTTTATAACATTTTAAATCCTGAAAAACACTGAAGACTATACTACATGTAACAATTTCCCCCTGTACAACCTATATTCATAAATGTACTTTGCAATGTCCATGGTTACTTCTAGTGTGCTACTTTGGGGCTCCAAGGAATCCCTGAGCGTCTATCCCCCAGCACATTTCATTGGTACAAGAACAACAATTCTTGATTGTCACCCTGATTCTTAAGATTTTCTAAAGCCTCCTGAGTTTACATTCTGTTGGAGAACTTTCCCACACAATTTCTGTAAACAACATATTGTTTACATACTTTTATGGGGGTGAAGAAACTTGATGTACTAGTGGTTTGTCCAATGTCTTTGGAGAGGTGGCCCATTCACTCTCCAATCCAATGTCACCTTTGGGAAAGTATAAAGGTCGGAGTCAGAGAATAAACCTTCTTCTTTACCTTGCAAAGAGCAGGTGGCTCGCATTGTGCTTTCACGTGTCCTATAGTGACACTTGATAACTAATTTTTGTGGGTTTTTTAGTTTAGAGCACTTCTATGTAAGTAGTTGCCTAAGAGTTTGCTTCTTTTACAGTTCTGGTGTTCTAGATGGTGCTGTTTTCAGGATGTGCTTCTTACAGATGGAGTGATTGGATGGCTGGCAGTGTTACAATCTGGCCTTAAAATCTGAGTGCCTGTTTAGTGGTTGTGAGTGACAGAAAATTAGCATTACTAAGACTTCCCTCACCTAACCTAGAGGAAATTTTGTTTTCCTATAGGTAGTGGATGGTCTACTTTTCCAACCAGCCAGTGCTAACAGCAAATCCAACCACAAAGAGGAGTTCAGTACATAAACCAGAGTTTGGAAACATTTTCAGTCCCATCTTTTGAACCTTAAAGCAACGATAGCGCCACTATGAGAAAAATATTTCAGTACATCAACTATAGTTTGGAAACATTTCCAGCCCCATCTTTTGAGCCTTGAAGCAATGGTTGAAAGTGTGGCTAAGTTTTCTCAGGTACAGCAGCAGTGGAGCCTTCAAATTCCTCTTTGCATCAGCCTAAGCTCAGGCTGGATGTTCCCTTCCACCCTGGGGAGCCTCTGTGGATGGACATGGAAATGATAAAAATAATTTATATATATATAATTATTAAAATATATATAGATATAAAATAATTATTAAAATATATAAAATATATATTATATATAATCTATAACATATAACATCTAATATAAATATATAATATATAAAAATAATTATTAAAAATATAAAATGTTATTTGTATGTAAATAAAATAAATTATATATAAAATTACTAATTATTAAAACATTATATATAATATAAAACATATATAACATATAATATCTAATATAAATATATAATGTATATAATAATTATTTAAAATATATATATATATATTTAATTTTATTTATATATATAAATAAAATTTTATATCTATATAAAATTATAAAAAATGTCCAGATATAAAATAATTACTATATATATTACATATATTATGTTATGTACAACATATAATATATAAATATATAATATATAAAATAATTATTAAAATATATATGAAGTTTATTTATATATATATATATAAATAAAATAAATTTTCTATAGATATATAAAACATTTATTTTTATCGTTGCCACGTCCATGCACAGCGGCTCCCCAGGGTGGAAGGGGACATCCAGCCTGAGCTCCGCTGTGCTGCAGCAGCTCCCAGGGTCCTTTCCGTGCTCCAGGGGAGCGGAGCTCTCCCGGCACAGGGAGGCTCCGACGGGGCCTGCCTGGGGCTGACCCAGGGCAGCGCCTCCAGAGGCCGGGACAAAATCTCTGGGCTGGGCTGGAGGGTCGCGGCCAGCCCTGTGTGCCCTACCTACCCACGGCCCCGTTATCGCTCCCCACGGCCCCGTTATCGCTCCCCACGGCCCCGCGTGCCCTACCTACCCGGGGCCGTCCCTGCATTCCCGCTCGGCCCCGGCCCCGCCCCGGAAGCGCCGCCCGCCCGCCCGGAACCCGCGGATCCGGAACGCGGCTTGGCGGCGCGGGGGCCGGGCCGGAGCGCGGCGCGGGGCGGACCGCGGGGAAGATGGCGGCGGCCGTGGCGGGCCCACGTGGGCGCGGGGCCGCGGACACGGACACGGACAGCGGTAACGGCAGCGGGAACGGGGTGGGGCCTCTCTTCTTCTGAAGCATCGCCGGCTGCCGCTGTGCGCCGTCTCTGACCTTGGAGGCCTTTCCTGCCTGCCCGCCGGTGCGTCCTTGGCCCTTCGTGTCCCCGCTCCGGACCCCGGGCCGGGGCGGCGGCGGTCGGCGCGGGGAACGGGAGCTGCGGCCCCGGCCCGGCCGCCTGCCGAGGCCCTTCCCAGCGGTGCCTGGTGGCTGCTCCTGCCCGCCCTGCGCTGGCCCTGGGGCTTCTCCCGCTCAGCCCGGGGAGTACCGCCAGCGGCTCCTTCATTCCCTAGGCCCTCCAAAACAGCTTTCGCTGCCCGCTTTCTTGGGAGAGAGGGGAACGACTGCAGAGCTGCACGAGTTCCGTGTCTGCGAGCCAGGATCTGCTTCTCCCCGAAGGAAACCCCTGGGACGCGCTCGTTCCAGCGATTAACCCTTAACGCACTGCTCTGCACTCCTCCTCGCCTCCTTGTGAGGGTGTACCTAACCAGTTGTGATCCCTTCTTCATTCTGTCCTGTGACTGGATTTCTTCTTTTCTTTGTTTCGGGAGGAGTCAGGGTTGTGCCCATGTGCAGCTGTGGCTCCAGCGTTGGTTCTGTTTGGTTTGAGCGACAAAATTGAATCCAAAGGGAAGCGTTGTGTGGGAGCTTCTTTCAGAGCTCCTTGCTGAATGTTGGCTGTGTTTTAACTGTGTGTCTACACCTTGATCACTGAGCGAGTTTAAAATAGAGAAGTAGAGAAATGTGGATGTGTATTTCACAACATGCACACGCAAAAGCAATTAGAACTTTTGTTATTAAATTTGTGCCAGATATCAGCCTTATCTATTCAGAATAGGGTCCCAGGTCCTACTTTTGATTAAGATAATCTAATTTAAATTATTTTGAAATATCTCTTCTTGATCTCATGCTGTTGATTGATACTCTGATGTACTAAAGAATAAATTATGGCTAGTAGTGGAAACTTTGTTAATTTTTCTGTAACTGTTGAAAGTAAAATGTTGTTATTATTCTCCCATTTTGTTGGCAGAAGATGTTATGTAAAGGAAATGATACACGCTTTAGCAAATTTCCTTTTTATAAGTCTGATCAGTTTTTCATGGCTGACTGCAAAAGTTGGTCCTAAGCAGCGTGGGGAATTCAGGTTTGGACTTTTGGTAGTTGTCAGCTTTTGTGTGTGTGTAAAAAAGTGACAAGCAGAGGTTGACTCCTTGTTTAAAAGCTAAATAGCAACATCCTAGCACAGACAGGGCCCGGGGTGAAAACTTGCTGTTGTTTTACGTGTAGGAATGAGGATGTGGTTCCTACATGTAAAATGTGTGATGCTGCAGTTACTTCTTTGCAGGCAATGGTTTGAATTTATTTTTTATTGGAAACTCAGAATAAGGATGCAAATATCTAGAAGGATATTAAAGGATGAAAAAGATGCCATTAAGTAGTTACTGAATGTGTTGAGAAAATTTACCAATTTATAGTAAGGACTGTTGGAAAACACCCCCCTAATTTATTTTGAGTGGGGGATGACATAGCACTGTGTTTGCCTTGGTGGTAGTAAAAGTCATACTGACAGAGATAATGACCAAGTATTCAGTAATTATTTCTCTTGCACGTTTGTTTTGTAACCACGGACTCTCACTTCTTTCCATCAGGATACCTGAATGCTCCCCAAGCCTCTAAATATGCCTGGGCAGTAGAGGTGTTGCTTTAAATTGGTCAGTGCCACTGTTTTGCTGCTATGTTGTTAGGTTTTTTCTGGTTTAAACAGACACATGGAGAATGCAGAATAATGAATTAGTGTGGCAGCAGAGTGTAAGTTTATGGTTGCTTAGTTGATTAATGGGGAATATCATTAATAACTGCCTGCATGATTTTATGGAGAACAGATCTTTTGAAGCACTCCTGGCTTCATTCTCTTAATGGTTTGGTTGATAAAGGTACTTCATGGGATATAGGAGCACTTACAAAGTGAAGCATTTGGCTCAGTAGTACTGTGATTTAACATTTAAATTTTCCTTTTTTAAGTACTTTGAGAGTGGTGGATGGATGAAAGTGAATCACATGGAGAATCTGGGACTGGGTGGGATCAGAAACTAGCTTCCTTCTGTTCAGCACTTGATTTTGCAGCCTTGAAAGTTGTATATAAGATAATTAATTTAAAATTTAATGTGGCACAAATATTAATGGAATAGTAGTTAATGGTGGCAGGACTTTGATGGTGGCTCTGCTCTTGATTACATGGTGAAGTAAAATACCCCAGCATATTTTAGCACACTCTAAACCTGCAGCCCATTTCATTCATTAGTTAATCTCCTGCACTGTTAAGGACTTCTATTTTTGCAGTTTGACCCACTGAACAGTAATGAGGACTAACTCTTTGTGTATTTGTTGTGCCATCAATTTGGCTGTTTTCAGCTGTCTTAATTCCAAACTTTGGTATTGTGATTTCAGCTCCCTCTTTTATTTTGAAGGGCTCATAGGGGTAATGAAGTTTGACTGTGGGGATGTTTTATTTGTGAGACTTGAGCAGTTACTTACCCAGAAAAGCTCAGTGCCTCTCCTTTCTTTTGAGCCTGACTACTGTCTTGATGCTGTATTCCACAGAGCAGTCTCCCCTGGGTTCATTGTGCTTAGGTAATTGTATTTTTGCTGGCAGTGTTCTCTCTGAGCAGGTTTTGCTGTCATGTAAGAAATGCCCTGCAGCTTCAGTTTCATTCCTGTGGCTGTTTGCAGTCAAACACCAGATGTCACTGTTGCAGTTTCTCTGTGAGTGTGTACATACATATGCACACATATTTGTGTGGATAGGAGTTTACAAGGTACACTTTTTAAACTGGAAAATAGACACACTTTCCCCCCACAATTACAAGCCCTAAACATAAAAATATTCAATAATCTAATAATAAGTATCCAAGGCTGCCTTTTCCCTTTTGCCTAACCTCTTTCAATCACTTTATATCATCAATGAGGTAGGCAAGCACTTGCACTGCATAGTTTCTAATAAATTCAGTATAATGGTGTGTGCCTGCTAGAGGAATTAATTGTAGCAGCACATTTACAGCAGGAATACCTCTCTCTGAACTTGGAGAACATTTAATGTAGAGCAGATGGCACTAGTGAATGATTCTTACTAGAAACAATTCCTGATACTTTTTCTTGCTTTTTTTTTTTTATCCCTAGGTTCTGAGTTAAGCTCAGAACTTCCAGAAGACAGTTATTCTTCAGGAGGTGAAGCCTTGGATGGTGATGATGAAGATGAAGCAGCAGCCCCTGGCAACGTGGCTGAAAAGGCAGCAACAAGCTCCAAAGATGGCCCAAGTTCAGGATGGGCAGATGCCATGGCAAAAGTGCTCAACAAAAAGATTCCACAGAATAAGTCCACCATCTTGGCCAAGAATAAAAGCCTGGAGAAGGAGAGAGAGAAAAAAAAACAGGAGAGGCAAGAAAAGAAGATGAGGGTGAGAAAAAGATGCAGTATTCCATGTGCAGTGGCTGTCAGATGGGCTACATGCAAGATAGTCTCAGAGCATTGTCCCAAATTTCTGCTGAGGCTGTCTCAGTTTTGGAGTCTCTCCTTCACAGTGATCTTGAGTAGCTTAATTTTTTTTTTACTTTCCAGTCATGCTGTAAGGTTTTTTTCCTTTACTGCTTCTTCTGGGTCATCAGGCAGGCTAAACTTTGGCAACAGGAGCATTCCATTCTGTCAGCTTAAGGTGCTTTCTTTTTTGAGGGGGTGAAAGCAGCTACTTTAAATTTGATTTTCTAATTGGTGTTGTTAATTTGGGGTGAAATTCACTTTGTTGGCATTACAAATGGAAATCGTTCTTTACCACAGAAGGTGAGAGGGAGAAAGAGAAGAAAACTGCTTCCATTTAAATTGTGCTGTGACTTCCAATGTCAAGGCCTCTAGGTTGAGTTTGCAGTAATCACTGATGTAGTTGTGCATGGTTGTTTGCTCCCCTCAATCATTTTTCTGATTGGAGTTTTCTATTACCATGTCAGTGCCCTAAATTGCTTCTTGTTCTGAAACTGATGTAAAGAAACCAAACCATGTTGGCAAGCAAGTCATTTGTTTGTGCCTTCAGTGGAACTTTTAATTCCAGGCTCTGATTGATTTACCTTCAGGCTAGAAATACATTAATAGTTCTAATGTCTCATCCTCCCAGTTTTGTTTCTGTGGGATAACCAGGTTATTCACCTGGCAGTTTGGGACATGCTGCAGTTGGCCCATGGCTTGCCTTTTAAATACAGAGAGCTTCAGTACAGCATCTGCACAGTTATGGTTGTCCTAAATACCTGCTCTCATCCAGTAAATATGTGAAAATACTGCAAAACAGAGATGGGCCACAGGTCCCCAAATTGACTTGTTTACTTAAGAAAAACTTGAAAGCAATTTGCCTTTCATTGATTTCTTGCTGATGAAAGGTAGGATAGGGCAGTTCTTTTGATCAAAGGCCAAAACATGGTCATAAACCCAGAAATTCATAGTAGTCTGCCTGGAATTATAAAGATAAGGACTCTGAAATTCCATTAGAGACTTCTTGCATAAAACAGATTTAATGGAACATCACTAGGCATAAAACACTGTTAAATTGTTCAGAGGGGAAGAAAAATTTACTCCTAAAGCAGAGGTCATGAAATACAGTGGTCTCCTATTGCAGCAGAAACAAAGCTGATGGGTTTGTGTCTGCTGGTAGGAAAAGGGGATCAATTTGGTTTTGAAATGGAGAGTCTCCAAAAAAATAGACAAAAAGCAATACTCTACACATGACTTGTTGTCTGGTGGACACTTGGTGCTCTTCCGTTAGAGTTCTGCCTGTTGCACTCTTTGCTGAGTGTCATTTTGGTCACAAAGCCATATTGGGACCAGTTCTGTAGGGGGAAGTCAAATTCCCAAGGCTCAAAATGTGGCATGCCAGTCTTGATGGACCCAGGATTTTACTATGTATAAATTTCTCTGTGATCAGCTTGTGAAGTCTGGGATTTGAAGGTGGTTTTTGAATAATTTCCTTGCTCAAGGCAGTCTGTGTGAAAGCATCTTTTTCTTAAGCTTTTGTTACTGGAAGCAGATGACTCAGATTTCAGTGTGGCCTCTGTTGTAAGAGACCTCTCCAGCCCTATATTGGAGCTCCTTTTACTTTCAACCAAACCGAACTTTGCAGATACTTCTTTTCCTCCTGCTACATACTCTATCAGATCATGCTGCATTCTCAAATATCCATGTTGTTTCACATAACAATATTTATAATGCAGCTCGATAAAAAGCGGGAATGGGAAATGATGTGCCGAGTGAAGCCAGATGTTGTCAAAGACCGAGAGAAGGAAAGAAATCTTCAGAGAATTGCCACAAGGTAAAAGTTGTTCAGAATGCTTTCCTTAAATATATGTATATCAAAAAGAGGAGGAAAAGGCCTGTGCAGGTAATCTGTTTCCAATCAGATTGAACTCTTAAGAAGTGGCTAGCAGGAGCCGAGAGATTTATAGACAGGTCTGCATTGTACAGTATCAAGTTCAACAAAAGATTTCAGAAGCTTTATGAAAGAGTAAAAATTTAGATGGGAATCTAATGTTTGCTTAGCAGAAGTGCTTTGTTGGATCCCCTCATTTTGTTAATTTAATGCCTTAAAAATGCAGAACAGTTGTTTCTACTGTTCTGGTGTTTTTGCTTCTCCACAGAGGATTCACCAGATCCACAGCTGTGAAGTTCAGCTGCCTGTTCACATTGTGGTAGTTTTGTGTCACAGAACTAATTGAACAATTTGATGTGCTGCCTGTATGTCCTTATTCATTCCTCTGCCCTATCCTCCAGCTTCAACTGACATTAAGAAACTTGCCTGAATAATTTAATAACTGATTTTAGGACAAATAACGTACTCCCAAGGATGAAACGTGCTCAAGGATGAAACTGATCTTGGTGCCATGTTACCAGGCTTACTTCAGAGTCTGAATAGTAGATTTGTTTGTTATTGGTTCTTAGCAATAAGTATGAAGGAGGAGTAAAAATTGAAAGTTCTTTATGTTGTATAGTAAATATTACTTCTTAACCAAATCGAGTTCCAGATAACCATTCTGGGGAGTTAGAAGTCACCCAGCATCTGCACTGATTAGCTTTAGTAGGTGTTTCACTTCTGTAAAAGGAGCTTGAGCTAAAAGATTTGCTTTATTGTATTTTTACCTGTCCCAGAGGTGTTGTGCAATTATTCAACGCTGTCAGGACGCACCAGAAGAAAATGGAAGAGGAGGTGAAGAAAGCTGGGAGCTCTGAGAGGAAACGTGCTAAACTGATGTCTTCTGTTTCCAAGGGAGATTTCATTGATGTTCTGAGAAACATGGATGGGGCTAAAGGAGCCAAGAATCCTGCTGGAAAGGCCACTAAAAGTAAACAGGTAGGCTTCATCTGTGAGTAAAAAAACACTTACAAGGTACCTTCTCAATATAATGATTCTCTGTTAATGTGCCTGCTCTTCATAAATGTCTGACCCAAATGACAGGGATGTTTTGAGACTTGTGGAAGGGAACAAGTAGCTTTTAGCCTGTTTTTCCCTGTCTTTTGACTATCAAAGTACAAAACACTGGAAGCTCTTCTGATAAGACATGGAGACTTTTATGAAAATAACTTGGTTTAACTGTGTTTAAGAAAAGATTATGAAACACTAGATTTTATCTTGGATTTTACACCAGGTATGGAGCAAGCTGCTAGATTATGGTGGGTTGTGACATTTGGAATTTAGCCAATAATAGTTAGCTCCTTGAAATTGTTAAAGACCTGGAGGCTGTTCATCTTACACGGTGTATTAGACTGTACTACTTGTGTGTCCCCACAGTTTGGTCATGTCAAACTTGCTTCCTTTGGGTGATTATGGTGTCTGAAACGGAAGGATTTGCCATACAAAATGAATACCACAATAGAATGAAACACAGATATATTAAACCTTATATGTAGGCTTTTCTTTCCGTGATTCTCTGTGTGCATTGGGCCTGGTGTGACTTCCTTGCTTTTGTGCTGTTTTGGAAAGAAATACATTCTACTTTTTCCAAATGTGTTTGAGACACAGTGTAGTTGGACTTGTCCAACTCTTCATCAGTTCTTTCAGCTCACCAAGTAGCTCAGGGTTGAGAACAAGCTGCTCAGACACACTCTTTCTCATATTTCAGAAGCTGCACGTTTTTGAAGCGTATTTGTGTTCAGGTTTGAGCTCTGTGCTTGGTGGTGGGTGGAATACTGCAGTTGGCGCAGACACACTGCAGTTAACTAAGTGCTTTTCCGTGCCAGGAAGAAATACTTTAATCAGTTGGGAGACAGCATTTTGTCATATGTTTTTTGTTTGTGTGCACTTGGGGAACATGCTGAAACACTGCCTGGCATGGGGTGCTCATACAATTTTCATGCAAGTGCAATATTAAAGTATTTTTTAAGTTCTTTGGATAATGAGAACAATTTAGCTTGGTGCTGACACTTTATTTCTCCTTAAATAATTCCAGCTTGCTGATTTGGGTGGGGGGGCATATGTATGTGTGTGGCTCTCTTTTTTTGCTTCGTTTGTTTGTTTCTCCTCCCTTGGAATAGCAGAATATTGGAACGATGGCAGTGCCAACTACTATTGTAGTCAGCATTGAATCAATATCTGAGCAAGAACTAGGACCTTTGGTTTGTATCACATTGTAGCAGGGCAATTTTTTAATTACTAGGTCAGAAAACACAGATTGTAAATGTTTCTATACTAAAAAACTGCAGTTTTATTTTGGCAGCATCAGTAATAGCATATTTCCATTCAAGACTGGAGATGCTTTAGATGTTGGCTGGTTAGTCTTGGGTTTGAGTATCAATGTAGGTGCTGCTTTCACATCCCTCGTGCACAAAAGCTGGGGTGGGGATCAGGGTTTTTGGTTGGGTTTTTTAATTGCATGTCTGCCTAGGCAGACCACCCCCCCTTCCTCTTTCCCTTGTTTCAGTGACTCTTTAGCCTTTGCTTCAGTGACTCTCTATTCAATTTAATACTGAACCAAACTCTTCAATAACTCCTTTTCAAGCTGTTCTTAATCTGCCTTATTTTCTCTTGAGACCATATCTTACTCATTTAGCAAGCTCTCCTCCTGGTAGTTGTTGAGGCTTGAGGTTGAGGCCAAAATCTGCTCTTCATTCTCTTTCTCAGAATTACACAAATATTTAGCCACTGAACAGTTCTGCTGGCCTCCACTGTCATATCTCTGCTTCTTGGTCTTTGAGAGTGTTTCAGTATAGGAAGCCTGGATGAGGCTTTTCAGTAGTAAATTCCTTGCCAGTGGGGTTTCAGCAGATTGTTTGTGCCATCTGAAAGCTTTTGTTTGTTTGTTCTGTGGGTTTGTTTTTAGCAGTCGAGTATAGAGTGTATTCATTTTTTAAAAAGGTGGGGGGGAGATACATTTATCTCAGCAAAAACAATGGAAGAGATGCCAATCCCAAAATCCAGGCACTCTGCCATCAATTAAAAGGCAGTCCAGAACAATAAAAACACTACCCCACCCACATAAAACAAGCAGTCAGCAAGAAAAATGGCAGAAAAAAAAAATTACCAGTGAAAGCAAACCTTTTTTGACTCAAGCCTTGTGCTGTGACATGAGACTTGACTGTATTTTGAGAATGGGTGAAAGCATTTTCTTGCTCTGCAGGAGTTAGTTCTTGAATGCAAAATTTGCTTTGTATTTTTAAAAGTTTGGCAATTTCTTTCAAGTGTCAGGGGTTGTTGAAAAAACCCCTTATAAAGCTGTGTTGATTGACTATTTAGCCAAGTATATTTATGTGTGGAAAAAAAAAAAAAAGAAATTAAATGCTCTGTAAAGGCCCATCTGCAGCAGTATGATTTCAAAGTAGCATGACCACTTTTTACATTTTGTTCTCTATTTCCATCAGCTTCATGTGTTCCTGGGAAGGGCAGGTAACCTGTGCCCCACTAGAACATTGTTCATAGTCTTGTTTACTTTTAGCCATTGGCCTAAATGTTACTTGGCATATACCTACCAACATAACTATGAAGGAAAGACTGTCAGGCTGTGCAAGTTTTCCTGTGCCCTTCTTGTGAAATTGTAGCCCTTCTTGGAGTTCTGTGTGCCCAGCTGGGAGTAATTATTTTTCTGAGCTGGAGCCAAAAGCTTTGCCTTTCATATCATTTGCTGTTTATCAAAGTATTTCTTAATCCTTGCTGAGCCAGCTGACTTGTGTAATATTTTTTCCTGTTTTTTTTCCAAGTTACTGTGCATGATGCTTGCCTCTGGGTAAGATCATCTAATTTCTCTCCCCTCAGCACCTTGTCTGAAGCCTTGAAATATGGGAGAAAAATGAAGTCATTAAAAAAAAAATTAAAATCCCACTTGTTTGTGTTCAGATGGGCTTTTTTTAAAGTTTTGAGGTAGGTTTTTGTTGGAATCTTTTACTGGCAGATATGAGAGCTTTCAATTTGTTCAACCCAATCCTTCCACACGAGCTTTTAATTTCAAGATGTGTTGGTCATATCTTCCTGCAAGACACTACAAGAAACTTTATTAAATTACAGGTTTAGAAAGGGTATGTATCAGAAGCGCTGTTTTTTCAGGCCTGGAGGCTGAAGGAATTTTTATGTCTGTAGAATGAATACAGAAGTTGGTAGTGGCACTAAAGGATTCCCTGTAGGAATTGATTCCTTTAGGTCCTTAATACAAGGTGCTCTTAGGAAGTACCCTTGCTTCCAGGGTTGAGTGAAGTTTGTTTTCTTAGATTTGCACAGATACCTTGGCTAATGCAGGTCTTGAAATCTTAATCGTAAGAAAACAAGGAAATTCTGAGGAAATTCAGAGTTATTTTCGTCGCTTGCTGTATGTCAGTGACAATTGCATCTTGACTTTTCTCTTGTGATTTGTGCTGGTCCCTGTCAAGCATTTTACTGCATGGTGAAACATTTTTTAGTGACACATAAACAACTGGCATGAAAGTTACAGATACTCTGTATGACAAGCATAAGCTGCATTTATTGACCTTTCATTTTTTTATTAGGACTTTGTAGCATGATTTTGCTTCAACTTGTAAGCTTTCTTAAACCAGATCTGTTGCAGAGCATTTCAGTGGTGAAAGTAAGAGCAGGATTTCCTGGTCTACTTCAGTAACCATGATCCAAATTCTGCAAGGTAATCTCTCTTTAAGCTAGGCTGACTACATGACCCGGAGGTACAATTTGCTTCCTGTGTTGTGATGGTATCTAGAAAAAAATTGGTGTGTTGGTCTCAAAATGGTACCTATTCTAAAATAAATTATTGATGGGAAGGAAGACAGGTGGAGAAGAATACAAATGCTATTTCATAGCAGCTATTGCTCATATGGGACTTAAAGTGCTTTTCCAGAAAAGTTCCTTCTACCTCAAGCATATTTTATAAATGCTCCAAGTATCTGGTAACTAATTTGTAAGGACAGTGATTAGAGTCAGACTTACTATAGTTTTTTTCTTCTGTTCAAATGACTTTCTTTTAAGCTGTAGTTTGAAGGTTGTTCAAGGGCAGGAGGAATACTATGCTTCTGACTTTGACCACTGTTCTTGCTGGGATACAAGGAGTGCCACGGGGGCTTTCATTTTTTAAGCTAAATGGGGTATAAATTGTGCTTTCCAGCTTAAAAGTCGCATCAGTTTAAAAACTAAGAGCGACTGCCTTCTTTTCCTTGCAGCTTCTTGAGTACTGACCACCAGCTTGGTCTGTTTCTTTCCAGTGCTTCTGCAGTGTAGAAATAGGCAGGGTGAAAAAAAATTGTTTTCTTTCATACAACTATTTGGAGTGACAATAGCCTGAATAGTTGCTTCAACCTGTGTTAGGAAATTGTTTCTGAAGTGTGGATGAAAGCAGAGATGACTTCTGGAAATTTGATGAGGTGTATCAACACCTCTTTTAATCTTACCAGGAAACTTCCTTAGGTGACAATGGCATTGCAAAGTAGCAGAAATTTATTACTACAGCTGTTGTGTGCTGGTTTTACAGACCTAATTGAAGGAGTAACCAGGCATGCATGTATTCCAGCAGATTTGAGGGAGCAGCCAAGTATTAATTTATTTCAGCTGTAGCCAGAGTAGATGTATTCTCCCAGTTTTAATAAATACCTTCCCATCACATGCACAAAAACTTTCAATTTGGATTCCTTTGGATCCTGCATTTTTATCTGTTTTTCCTAACTCTTGAAGCTCACCCATATATGCTTGGAGCTGATGCTTTTAATGAAGACTTTTGGTCTGGTACCAGAAAGTTGCTGACAACTAATTGTATGCTGTATTCTTAGGAATATCCTTAGGGATAAATGCAGTGCAGCCTACCACTAGTTTGCTGTATCCTATATTCTTTATGTTCTTTAAGGTAAAGTGTTGTTGTGCAGTACTAGAGGTTGTTGGATGGT